CTGTAGATGTGTGATGGCTCCACAGTGGGCTGCTGCTGTCGCTAACGACAGTCTTTTCTCTGGCATTCAGCATGGCTGAAGGGGAATGTCTGTTGTAAACTTCCACCTCTGACATGGCTTAGAGGATCAGAGCCGGCTGGGCAGGTGCCAGCAGAGCCTGCCTTCTCAGCGCAGCTGTCCCCTGGTGTGTGGGCCCTTGTTACCTCACCTTTGCTCCTCTGCAGGGAATAAGCCCCTCGTTATCCCACTCAGGGTCCCTTGATTGTGCTTTCCATGTCTGTGATGCCTGACACTTGCTGCACATCCTTAAGCCTCCCTGACTTCCAAGGGTAGGAGGGCACAAGGCTGGCTGCAGCCACACTGAGGGGTGTCCTTAGCGGCTGTTTGTCTTCACCTTATTTTGGCCTAATGCCTGCTGATTGAGAAGAGAAGAGAAGAGCTCAGGTACTTCTCTTTGTCTTACTTCAATCCAGCAATGGGAAACTGGTTTTTTTGTTTTTGTTTTTGTTTTTGGAGACTACAGAGAGCAAAGTATTGGCTCTGCTGCCCTCTGGTGGCTGAATTACAATCCCGCCCTCTCCCCAGGAACTTGCTAGCTGGCTGGAGAGGGCCATACATGTATGTATTTGCAGGGCCCACAGGACATGTGCCAGTCTGCTCCCCATTGCTTCAGATTGCTTTGGGTTGACCAGGTTAAATTTCCAAATCTCCAGTTACAATAGGCATTTCGTCTTGTCTCCCTCACAGAACTCTATGTGGCTGAGCAATTTCAAATCAGAGATGTGCTGAGGCAGGATGGTCACAAGTTCAAGTCCAGCCTGGCAACTTAGAGACTTAGTGAGACCCTGTCTCAAAAATAAAAATAAAATGGGCTGGGGATATAGCTCAGTGTGAAGGACCCAAGTACAATCCCAGTACCAAACCCAAACACAATGAATAAATAGGAAAAAGAGCCAGGGATTTAGCCCAGTGGTTCCACCACCTGCCTTGCAAGTGCAAGGACCCGAGTTCAATCCCCGGTACCCCCCCCAAAAAAAACTAAAAGCCTTCCTAATTTTGGGCTGGGGATTTAGCTCAGTGGTCTCACTGCCTGCTGCGCAAGTGCAAGGACCCGAGTTCGATCCCTGGTACCAAAAAAAAAAAACAAAAAAAAAAAAAAAGGAAAAAGAAATGTATTCAAAGCTCCAGTTAGTATCTACCTATGAAATAGATCATTGGATGTCGAAACAGTCCTATTTGCCATACTCTGTTAGTTGGAAGTTTTGCACTCAATATTGCCATAGATAAAAAGTACTGAGGTACAGGTGACGCACTTGCAGACGTCATCCTATACCAGCACAGGGAGATGCATGAAGTACTTCTGTTCTTAAGGATTAGACTACCAAGGAAAGTTGAATTGAAATTAAGAAGTTCTCTCTTTTCTGAGATTATAAATGACTTATTTACTCCCAAATAGTATCACAACCTTTGACTTCATTAAAGAAGAGAGTAAGACAGGTCCTGTTTATGGGGGTGTCAGCTAAATACACAGTACAAAATGAGACAGGGAATATTTTCTTTCAGTGACCCTGAGCGCTGCTTTGTATGGATACCCTTCCCTCATCTGAGCACTGCCAGGCACTAACCTTCCACAGAACTTGCAGCTCCCTCTTTTCTACCTTGAAAGAGCCAAGCTTGGGAGAGCATACTTAGTCCAACCTTAGGCATTGTCTCCTCTCCTGGACTCCTTGCAGGTCCCCTGCAGCCTGCTGCTGTCCTCTCATTTTTTCACCTGTGTTCCTTGATGTCCCTCCTGAACATTTCTCATCCTGGCTTACCTCCTGTTGCTGGGAATCTCCCTCAGCTCAGAATGCTCCCTCCCTCAAGCAGAGCCCTTACTGGTCCTTCCTCTACACAGCACTGGCCCTGACCCTCCTCACTGTCACCATTGCTGCTGGATTTTTTCCGAGCACGGGGTTCCCAAGGAACCTGTAAAGGGGCCGTTCAACTATCCCTTACCTTCCCATGGAAGAAGTTTCCCTTTTGATTAGTTTTTCAAAATAGGCTTCTAAAGATAGTTATTTTTTTGGAAAAAAAAATCTGTGGCTTTAAAAATGTTACTTTTCTTTCAACTATTTTTCATTCAACTTTAAAAGTAAACTTTAAAAAAAATGGACAAGGTGATGTAGTTAGTATTTCTTTAAAAGACTGCAGACAGCAGAATTCCCTTGTCACCTTTCCCTCCCCTCCCCACCTCTCCTTGGGTGGGAAAGCAGTAACACTTACAGGCAGCGTTTGGCCCTGGGCTCAGCCATCCACTCTTCTAATGGGTCTTGGGCAGCTGTCCCAGGCCAGATAAGTCACATTAAAGCTGAGAACAAAACCGAGGGATTGGATTTCTTTTTAAATTAGGAGAAAAAAATATATGTGCCATGGAAAGCTCTCAGACGGTCTGGGTTCCTGGAAACTGCTGACACACTTTTAAAAGATGTCTTAAATCATTACAGTCTCAAGTCCATCTTAACTTTTGGAACTTCTTGGGTAGGTTTCTGCTTTATTTTGGTAGAAATTTGTTGTAAATAATGGTATGAAATTTGCCTGCTCTGGTGTCAGGCTGAAGCATGAGAGAGGAAAGAAAAATATTATTTATGGTAACCTGATGTGGTGGCACAAACATGTAATCTCAGTACTCTGGAGGCTGAGGCAGGAGAATTTCCACAATTTTGAGGCCAACCTGGGCTACATAGTGAATTCATGGCCAGCCTGCACTACATAAGGAGACCCTGTCTCAAAAAACCAAAAAATAAAAAAAGTAGTATTTATGTCGCTCACACCAAGCTTTAGGGTCTATATGCCCACAGGCAAGGCTGAGTGTCCTCATTCTATAGGTGAGTGGCTTCTAGCACATAAAGTTGTGTGCCCACATAGCTGCTATGATGAGAAGCCAGACTCAAACCTGGCCTAGCTGATGCCTGAATTTGTCGTGTCCTGCAGAGAAGAACATTGAGTCTTTAAAGAAAGGCTCCCATTGGGAACTGCCCTTGGGGTCCAGAGACATAATTTGTTTTCTAAATGGGAATGCCTGGGAATGCTTCTAAATGGGAGCTTGTCCAGGACAAATGCTAAAGTGGGTGGGATGCAAGGCCATCAGCACAAAAGGGTCCTGCCATGGGGAAGCTGAGTGCATAGTCATCCCTCTCATAAGGTAGACAATACTCATGATGTCCAGAAGCAAAGTTCCCGCCAGAACAAGCAGAAGTAAGTGGTCCAAATCTTGCTAAAGCCCCTGCTATTTTCCTGCATCATAATCCCTTCTGATGTGCTCCCTTCACAAGGCACGGCCATGACCAAGCTGCCCAAAGCCTATGACAACCGGGCTTCCGGGTAGCACTGGCCGAGGAGTATGGGAAAGAAATCCAACATTACATTTCATTATTGCTGAGCATTTCTCAGAAGAAATTACATCAGGGCAAGATGTCCAAACTGCATCTTGGTTCTAAGGCTCAATTAGAAGCTTTGTGTAATTAGGGAGAATTTTATGAATCTGACTTCTGATCCCGAGGTTTAAAGAAAGAGTAGTCCCTTTTCACTTTTTCTACTCTCACCTTTTCTACTTTTCTCCATCCTTCTGTAAAGTTAAAAAAATAACATATTTATTAGGAGCATTGCTGATGCCCATAGTCTGAAATATCCAGGAAGTATGTGTAGATAAGTCACCCACAGCCAAGGGCAAGTGGGCTGTATTCATCACCCCGTTTAATTTTCTGTATTTCTGACATCTGGGGCCTTACTGACCCTGGACAGACTGCCCCTGTCAGAGCTGGTGGATTCCTGGAGATGGTAGGGGACACAGCTTCAGGGCACCTTCAATATGCAGACCACCTATCCAGTGCCCACACCTACCACCTTCATGACTGCCATCTGCCCACCTAGTCACTCCACGACAGGAAGCAGACCACCAAGGACAGCCCCTGGGCCCCAGAGCCCATTGAAAACTTTCAAACTAGCCGATCCTAAGCCTGCTTACCCTGCCTAGCCATTCCTTCCTGAAAAAGCATCCTAAAGATGCTTTTGCCCGTGTTGGGCCTCATCTCTTCTGGCTCCTGCCTGACCTGGAAGTTCTCCTTGTGCTCCCCCAACCAATGGCTTGATGTGCCTCCTCCTCTTCAGTGGCAGTCATCTCCTCATCAGTCGGCTCACTATACCTAATCAACAATAGAACCTACATTTTAAAACAAACCATCCCCTCCAAGGCCACATGCCCTCTTCTCCTCCTCCTTGCAGACCGTCTTAGGGTGTGGGAAGAGCAATCAAGTGCAAAGGCAGCGGCAGCTCCAGGAGAATTTCATTCTTGCCAAGAATCCTATTCTGCTTTCTCCTCAGTGGAGATCAGATAAAGCAGCAGGAAGGGACAGTTTGTTAAAAAGATACCCAGGTAGAATATAGCATCACCTGGGCTGACAACTGAGCAAAGTGACACCCTCCACTAAACTAGGGAAACAAACAGCCATCAATCACAAATAACAATTATGACTCTTCCTTAGCTCCTGTAATAATTATTACAAGTGTTTGTCAGCTGTCTAAAATACTTTTAGAGGAAAAAAGTTAAAAATACACAAGTTGACTTCACTGTGCTCAATTGAAAAAAATAGAACATTTTTTAAAAAAGCTTTTTAGTAGTGAAGATATTAAATGTAGAAAAATGAAATATCCTAGTTAAAAGACATCCCAATAATGCTGGCATTTTTTTTTTCCTCCATGGCACTCCTGCAACCTCGGAATGTGTTTGCAAGAGTTCTTGTTTGTTTTAAAGTTAGAAAACAAATGTGTTTCCTTGTGAGAACAAAGTCCGTAAATATTTTATGTAAGTGAGAGATGTGAAATGAATTAATCCCAAAACATTTGTCAGCCACAGTGAGGACAAGAAATCCACTTTGCCCACATCAGCTTAACAGTGTTTGCCTGGAAGGTGTTTGGAAGCCCAGGGTTAAATGACAGGCGCTGGATTTCTTTCTACTCACCCTTTAGCCAGTGTTGCTATGCCAACGTCAGTTAACTTCATTCCTACACCTATGGTGAGAGAGAGTAAAGATGGAGTTTGAGTTATTTGGGATCCATCTACTTTTGGGTCAGGGATAAGGACAACTCTGTCATCATATCCCTTCCTGCATAAACACACTTTCCTCCTGGTTTCCAGCCCCGGAGCTGACAGTGTCTCTGACCTGAGCCTGCTTGTGGGGAGCGTGCCTAAGGGGAGGGCAGACCTCCGAAAGGGGGTGGTGCTGGGGAGTCCAGCTGTGCCTGGCTTATGCCGCCCCCAGAATAGAAGAAGGAACCAGCTGCTCTGTGGTGCACCGGAGGCTTATCACTTTCCCAGGTGCTGTCTCCTCAGAAATGCTCTGCCTTAGGTCTGGCCCCGCTTCTTCACTGAAAGTGGAAATCATTACACAATGGAAGGAAGAGTGGGCATGGACTGCACTGTTCAATGTCAACAGTGAGAAAGTTCAAGGTCACATTTGCTCAGGTCAAAGCCAAAGTCCTGATATGCAATTTCCCATCTCCATGAAGATGGGTTCCCATCTCAGGGCTGAAGATTTACTGGACCAGTTTCAGATCCAGAAAAGCAGTTCCTGACATAAATAAGACTTTTAGCCAGTGGTCTAGGGACACTGACATTTGCAACCCACGGTCTGACCCTTTGACACTTGTCCTAACCTCTATCCATTGAGCCATGGCTGGGGGAGGCTACCCAGAGGCAAAGCAATAAAACAGGCACTTGTGTTTCCCACTGGGTCTCTGCAGAGCACCACAGATGCCCCTGGTGGAATTCCAAGGATAAGAGTCATATTTTGCTCCTGCCTTTCCAGCAGGGGCAGTTGGGAAAATAGGTAGAGAGCCAGGAATGCAAGGAGAATGGACAATCTACTGTCTACTGTCTACTGTCTTCTGTGGTGAGGAGAGCAAGAGGTGCCCTCAGCTTCTGCAGTAGAAAATAGCCATCCTTGCTCCCTCTGTCCCCACTCACAGCCTGCATCCTTGATCTATCTCGGGCCTAGCAGGAAGGAAACGCATCTCTCTGATGCCTGATGTGGAGGCCCCTGGGCCTTGCTAGCATCTCTGCTCCAATCAGGTATCCACTCTGCTGCTGTCTCCCTGCACTGGTGGATCTGGGAACTTGTCCAGTCTCGATGGACCTCACTGTGCCATCCACTCTTATCACAGGACACAGCATCCAAACTGTCACCCCACCAGTGTGTGACCTGCTAGACACTGTGCCAGGGTTTTGCCCCCGCCTCTTTCACTTTTGATTCTGGTCCTGTGTGGGCTGGGCTGTAAGCAATGCTGTCCCTGCCATCAGCAGGTGACCTGGCCAAAGAAGGGCCAGGCAGCCTAGCAACCAGTCTGTTCTGTAGAAGAAGGAGCCAGCCCCTTCTCAAAGTCAACCATGGTGATTAGATCTGATGGCAATCTAATTTTGTGGTTCTCCATCCCAGAGGCCCAAGAAAGGGAAGTTGAAGGGTTAACACTCAATTCAGCAGTGCCTGCCTGCAGCATGACAAAAATACAGGACATGTTGCTATTCAGACTGGTTAGTCAGACAGAAGCAATGAGCAGGCTTTTCTGCAGTGCACCTGTGAGCTAAATTAGACATGGCACTTCGGGGGTGCCAGTGGGCATTTTAAAAGCCTCTTTCACAGTCAGTAACTAATTCATCTCATTCTTTCAAAGCTGCTAACAACTTGAACGTATGTAAAAATGCTTCACATAGCTTTTATTACAAGGTCTATCTTTTTAAAAAGACACCAAATTGTAAAAGCCCTCTTTGCACATCGTGTTTCACAAAAAGATGTATTTAAAATTTACAGCTCTAAGCTGTGTAGAAGCTCAATTTTTTAAAAGTCATTTGGCAAAAGGTCTCTGAACTTAGAGAATTGCTTTTCCTTGCTTCTCATAATTACCAGCTGTTGTTTTCAGTTTAGAAAAAGAGAATATAATATTTGAAAAGAAATTTCTCTCTCTTGATTTAGTAATTTGTCATCAATTCAGCCAAGGTTATTCACAATCACTTGGGGCCAATAAATTAAATTCTAGCATGCTGCTGAGTTGAAAATCATAATGATTTACAGGTTGTTTCTGATAGAAAGGAGGAAATTGGCAGTAACAGGAGTCTATTCTCTAGAATTTGAGTTCTTGGGTTTTTTCAGTGATATGACCTTAGAAAGCCTAGCAGTATTTATTACCAGGGCACAGGTCTTAATTCTAAATCACAGCCAGGGCTTCTATTCCACAAAGCTGCAGCCCCCTGCACAATCCTATAAACAAGCCAATGCACCCAGGGATTGGATAACTTTTAGGAGTCCAAGAAAGTGATGATCGAGTTTTGTGCTTGTTTGTTTGCTTGTCTGTATTAATCCTCATTCCAGTGTCTCAGTATAATTATAACAAGTGAACACATTGCTTAGAGAAGAGATGTGCTTGCATCTCATTCCAGAATGATGAAGACAACAAAAAGACTTTTCTCAGCAGAAGAGAGTAAATAAACACCATTCCAAAACACTGCACCACCACAAGTCATTTACAGAGAAATGTAATATTCCACTACTGCAGTTGTTAACTGGTGCACAGAAGCAAAAGTAGCTGTGCGTGAAGCTCTGGGGTGCGGTTTTTCAGTAGAGAAACTATACTTAATGCAAAAGTAACTCTGAAGGAGAAAAGACGGGAACAGCAACAGTTTCACAGCCAGAGTCTGAATAGAGAGCTGTCTGTTAAGACCATGTTTTGTGTGTATGTGTGTGGTGGTCAGGTCTCTCCAAAGAATGGGCCAATATGGCTGCCTTAAGTTTGCAGAGCAGCCTGTCTGCAGGAGAGTGATGTTGCATTTCCCAGTTGGCCTGAAAGGAGCCCCTCAGAGGGCTCAGGAGGAGGTTATTTAAAAAAATTTTTTTTTTGGTACCAGGGGTTGAACTTGGGTCCTTGCACTTGTCCAGCAAGCAGCGAAACCACTGAGCTAAATTCCCGGCCCTGGCTCAGGAGGAGGAAGATGGTACACACTGTGCCCTGCTAGCGTCAGGAGACACTGCAAAACGTTGGCGGTTAACCTCCTGTCAGTTTGTTAATTTGTGGTATAGTGGGAAAAGCTTAAGATGTGGCAACAGAAAATGTGGCTTTGAGTCTTGGAACCCTCTTACTAGCTCAGCAGCAGCAATTACATCATTGCCTCTGATTTTCAGTTTTCTCATCTGCAAAATGGGATCTAATATTATCTTTGGAGTATTATTATGAAGATTCAATAGAAAAAACGAGTACATACAAAAACCAATGAAACCTAAGTAGTCTGTAGTCCAGTTAATTATATTGTGCCAATGTCAAGCTCTTGGTTTTAATAATGGGATCTAGTTATGTAAGATTAGTTATCATTAGGCAAAGCTGGGTGAAAGGGACCATGAGGACTTCTCGGTATATTTTTAAAAATTTTTATAAGTCGATAATTACTTCAGAATAGGGAACATTTTATTATGTGGTGCTGCTGCAGCAAACATTTTACTATCTCATTTAATTCTCACTGCAACCTCATGCCCAAAGTACTGAAGCACTGAGTCATTTACCCAAAGGCTGACCCCCAGGGAGTAGCAAGGCAGTCCTGCTCTTCCACACCATGCCATACCTAAAGCTTAGCATCCTTGTATGTGACCAGCATTTCTTTGCCCAAGGACTTCCTCGGCTCATTCTTTGTCCAGCTTAGCTTGCCCACGTGGCTGGTGGCAAGTGCAGGGGAGTCAAAGCCCCTGCCATAAGCAGCCTTCAGCTGGTGGTCCTGGAGGTTAGGGGTAGACACCCCAGCTCCCTCACTCCATGGTGGGTGATTCTGGGAAATGTTCTCCACACAGGCCCCCACAGAGTTAGCCCCACTGCCCACATCAATAATTGGCTATGGATTTGTGTTCCCTGTTGGCTGCCTGCCCTTCTTTAGCTGTATTTCTTTGCTCCCCTACCTCTGTTTCCTAGGACTCCCTCCCAAACGAGCTATTTGTTCTTAAATACAGTGGTCCTCTGGTCCTCTCACACCAACTATGCATTCTGGAACCTCAGATCCCACCAAAATGTTAACAAAAATTGTATCTGTATTCAACATGTACAGATTAATTTTGTCATCATCCCCTAAATAATACACTGTAACAACTACTTACATAGCATCTATACTGTATGAGGTATTACAAGTAATCTACAGATGATTTAAAGGATTTGTGCAAATTACATGCAAATACCACATCCTCATATAAAAGGGACTTGAGCATCCAAGGATTTGGGGAACGAGTGGATACCAAGTGATAACTGTACTTGTCTCAGGGCTATCCTGGCAGAACCCTAATCATGGCAATCCCTCTTCATGCAAGAATCGGCTTTCCTAAAATATCTCAGGCACATTGGAAGTATGCTATGAATTCATGGGGGAGCTTAAAACCTAGAGCATTCTAAAGACCCTTTCATGTATTAAGAATGAAATATGATTTATCTTTTGGTATATGTGGGTTCTCATATGTGCTTCTGAGTTTGTGCCTGTTGAGGATAGAACAACAAAGCTTCTTTCTGGTTACTTTTCATAATGGGAAGGGATTATTGGCACGAGTATTAAAACACACTTTATTATTCCATCTAGTCATCTCAGGTTCCTTGCCAAACTTGTTTCTGATGAGACATTAGTAATGCCTTACTCAGGTAAAGGTGCTGTAAGGTATACAGCAGACCTCTCCTTCTCCTCCCCTTCTTTCCTCTCTCCCCTAAGAATACCCCAGACCCTCAGTATCCCTGAAGCCCAGGACTATCTGTTCTCCTCACCCTGCATGTCTGTGACCAGGAGGCAGCCACTGGTTTTCTGGTATACCCAGTGCTGGAAGGTACAACATTTCTGACCAGCTTCTGATTCTTTTCTCAAGAAGTTTATTTCCTTCCCATCTCTGATGGAATACTTCACAAATTCTCCAATTAGCTCCTCTTCCACTGTTGCATATGGGATGGTGTTCTCAGGCCGATGGATAAGAAAAATAGGAATGATCCTGGCAGAGAGGAGAACATGGGCACATGTCAAGTTCTCAAATGTGAAGAACAGTTTCTAGAGCATTCTATCCTCACCTTCAAAATTAATACCTGGGCTCTTGGGTTCCATTAGATTTCTTTTTTGCCACACTAGTGATTGAACCTAGGGCCCTGCACATGCTTATACGAGTGCCCTACCACTGAGCTACACCCTCAGGCCATCTATTAGATAAGACTAAAAATTCCCCCCAATCATTATTTAATGAATAAGATCCACTTCTGGTTTTGTTTCCACAGTTGGTTAGAACTTCCTCCTTGGGATCAACGCCAATTGTTTGTGAGTGAATGTCTTGATTATAGTCCTATCCTAATAGCCCATTGGTCAATGACCATAATACATCCATACGTCCATACAGCTTCCCCTTCACCCATCGATTCATCTGTTCATCTTCCTTTCAACAAATGTTCCTGCAGTGGCCTCTAAGGGTTAGACACTCTTCCACAAAGAGCTGTAAAGAAAACAGGTGCTTGTTCTTCTAGATCTTGAATGAAGAAGACAGAAACAAGCAAGTGCTCTGCTTGGAGGGAAGATAAGGCAGTGGAGAGGAAATCTCCACAAGATGGGGAATAAGCTGCCATTTAATTTAGGAAGGTCAGAGAAGTCTTTGCTAATTAATAAAGGACAAACGAGTAGAGACCTATGGGAAGAGAGGAGAAAGTCACGAGGCTATCTAAGGCAAGAATATTCCAGGTGGAAGGAAAAGCAAATGTTAAGGGCTCTGGGCCTTAAAGCATTCTTTCTGATTTTAGGATGAAAGCTCTGTGTCTTGCTAAAGAAATTTCAAATAACAGCTGGACAGGACTGGGCAAATTGGGGGAAGTGGCTCTGCTCCATACCCCTAAATACAGCCTGGCCACCAAGCTCTCATCTGTTGTGCTTCATTTTTGCAAGATTCAGGGGATGCTCTGAGAAGACCCTCTGGTCAACGGCCCTTCCATCAAGCAAAATGGTTCAGTCTGTCTGGGTTAGTAATTCTGCAGCCTTTGTGGTGAAGAAACCGCAGAAGCAAGGGCTAAGCATTATTCAGGTTCTTAACTAGCCTGGTCTCTGCCCAGTGGGATGTTATTTGCATAGACAATGTGACTCCATTGATATTCATGAATTCAAAAGCAGAAGCTAGGGAGTGTGGAGTGTTTTCTTTTGCAGATCCCAGCCAAAAGAGAACTGCTCCAGGCTGTTTCATTGCCTGAAAGTAAACGTGGGGGTGGCATAGGGGTCCAGAGCCTCAGGGCCTTCTCTCTAGGAGCAACTGCTTCAACAAAATGGTTTTCAGAGAAGGCTGGAAAAGTGCAAGGCTGGCTCTGTGCGTGTGTGTGTGTGTGTAAGCATGTGCGTGTAAGCATGTGCGTGTGTGCACTTGTGTGCATGCTCCCTCCTATAGTGGAATCCTTTGCGTTAGGTTTTCTGAACATGGAGTCTGGCCCTGATGTCCTTCTGAGGACACTTACCACTTCATATGTTATCATCATCCATGTGGTCACAAATTATTCCATGGTAAGGACAGGAAAGTGGGTTTTTTGATAGAAAAAAATGTCCGAGTCTATCTTTAGGGCAGTGGCCTATTTCCTGAGATGCTGCTGAAGCCCTTTAAGCTCCTACCCCCAACTTGCCTGGGCCCTTTCCAAGTTCCTAGATTAATCTTGAAATTTGTAATTTTGTGTTTTTATTTAAAAGTATCCCAATAAAACTCATCTCTGAAGGATTCCAGAAAGTGGGTACTATGTTCCAGATCACCCAATCCACTCTTCCCTGTCATGCCACCATGTCTTATTTTCATCATAGGGCTAATTGTATTGGGATAGTCTCTTACTGCCTTATATTTGTTTATTATTTAAATAATGTAATACTCATAAAAGTAGATACTTTTCTATTTAGCATGGCAGATACATTTATTGAATGAATTAATCCATTCATCATCCATCCATCCATCCACATATACATTGATTCATAGAGTATTTATCAGGAATCTCTCTGTGTGCCTCTGGAGACCAAACACGAACCCAACAGCAGTCATGTGAGCCCTCATGCAGCTTACAGACAGAGAGACCAAATGAAATGCTTCACCTAATGGTCCTTCTCACCCTCTCACTCCCCAACTCCAGGTCTTTTAAGTCCCAACAAGTCAGATGCGGTTAACACAAGGCAGGACAAAAACACTTACTCCGGTACTTCTCCGAAGCCTTCCAGAGGCTGTGCTTCAGCAGCATAGATCTTGGCATAGTGTCTGGCAGTATTTTGAACATAGCATTCCTATAGCACCCAAATACACGGGAAAGCCAAGGGATTAGAAGAATTCAGAGTATTGCCCAATAAGACTATTTAGAAGATTTTCCAATATAGGTCAAGCCAATGGATTCCCAAAGCCCATCCCTTGGTTGAAGTCAGAGAGGCAACATTTTTTTTCCTTTGCAGTAGTGGGGAATCAAACCCAGGGCCTTGGGCACACTGGGCAAGTGTTCTACCACTGAGGCACACTTCCAGCTCCTGAAGCAACAATTACTGCAACTTAGAGTTGGCCAACTACAGAGGACTCTGAGAAGTGAGGACTATCTAGGCCAAGGTCAAGTGGTCTGTAGACTCAGGTGTCCCTGGACTACAGACTT